TACAGCACACACAGCTACAGGTATACACACAACACACCTCACCTTACAGCACAGAAGCTGCACACACCCCACACAGAACAGTACACACAGCTACATACACTCGCCACATAGAACAGCAAAAAAAAATGATAAAGATTATGATAATTATAATTATTAGGATACTAAAATTATTACTTTGTATTACAATATTCATTGCACTGTTACTCATTTCACCGAAGTCCCGCCAGACTGTGGAAATGAAGATGCGCACATGCCGAAGTGACTGTTTGGCTCATTGGCTGGGATTTCTTTGGACTGGAAGGCAGGCCGGAGTGAATAAAGCACAGAGATCACAGAAAGGTGCAGAGGCCTACAGCCATACAGAACAAGACAGAGAGCGCTCACTCGTTCACCAAGTTGCCCAGGGGGACCCGATTCCCCCTTCTGACCTTTGGCCCCATGCTCCCCAGGATCACCAGGGTCGCCCTGGAAGAAAAACATGAAGACATACAGGAAATGACATTGTGGTAGGTGTGCAAAACCGGAATAAAGATCATGGTCTGGCTTTCTTTTTCCTCCTCCTCTGGGCCAGAAGCAGGAGTTTCTTCATTTCTAGTGCAGAAGACCGGCTCCCCTACCTTTTCCCCCCTGTCGCCCCTCAGCTCTCTCTCCAGGTCAATCTGCCAGAGAGGGGAGACACAGTGGGTGAGTGGGGAGAGGAAAGGGGAGACACAGCAGGTAAAAAGGAAAAGGAAAGGGGAGACACAAGAGGTGAGCAATGAGAGGAGAGGGGAGACACAGCTGGGGAACAGAGAGAGAGAGGCGACACTCAACAGGCAGCAATGACTTAGTCCAGCTTGTCTTGCTGTGAATCTCATGCCTCCACAGTAGGTCTGTAAGCATTTTATTATTTTTTTTCTTTCTGGATAAACCGGGGTCTCTGCTGCAAGAGAGCCCAGATTAGAGGGGTCACCCAGACAGAGCTGAATGAGAGCCCGGGGCAGGAGAGCTGAACACAAAGGTCTTGACACGAGCGAAGCGGGGGACTCACCACCCTGCCTGGGGGGCCGGGGGGGCCCTCTGGGCCCTAGGAGAGGGAGAAACGAGAGGGTTAATTAATGCTGAGCATCCCTACAGCCGTTCTGAATAAAGGCTGTCCCAGACTCCACCACACTGTGTTTCTTTTACTAAAGGTTTTCAACTTTTAACATCGTCCCTGGACTTGTATTCTCACGCCAGGAAGGGTTTAGAATGAACGTCCTGTGGCTGGGCTTAGGCAGCAGCCCTGCACGGCAAACAGAGCAAGCGCCCCCTGGTGCTCTGGAGGTGCAGTACTTGGGATCCCTGAATATCTGCCTCTCCAGATGAGCTTGCTGTGGAAAGGCTGATTCTCACCCGGTCTCCCTTCTCTCCTCTGGAGCCAGCAGGTCCTGGGCTGCCCTGTGGGGAGAGACAGGCAGCAGGTAGTTGAGGTCATCGCTGGCACTACTATGACTAACTGTCTATCAGCATTCATATTTAAGCCAATGTCTGATCAAGGGCTCACATTTCGTCCATTTTCTCCAGGGTCGCCTACGTCACCCTTCTCTCCCGGACGACCCGGCTGTCCTCCCAACCCCTGAAAAGGCAGAGGAGAACCAATCAGAGCAGCCCAGGGGATGCAACTGTCCAATCAGCAAGCACCATGCGCCACAGAGAGGTCGTGGTCTTTTTGTCTGACATGAAATACGTTGTCATTCGACAGAATCCTCACTTCGCCTAAAATCAGACGGCTTTCCCGATTACACTTTGCTCTACACACACAGCCCCTGCTTGGCGCATTCCTTTTCAGGCACTATGGCCTCAGGACCTCAGAGCAGGGTGCGAGCTGGCAGCGCGAGGAGACACCTGGGCACGACTATGGACTCCTCTCACTCCCAGGCACGGAGGCGAAGCAGAGCCGCTGGGAGGAAGCTGAGCTCCCCAGGGTGTCCTGCAGTGCCAGCTGGAAGAGGACATGGCACAGGCTTCACCCTGCTGTGCACGTGGGCACGACAGCTGACTCCCACTGACTCCGTGACCCTACAGCTCTCTGGATAAACCCGTCAGCTGAAGAGCCGTGCTGGAGGAGAGAGACTCCTCTCAGCCGAGGAGATGAGCTCTATGGACAGACGTAACTTCGACTTCAGTCCCTGGATGTGGCGGAGGTTCCCAGTGAAACGGACCCCTCGGCATGGAGAGACCTGATGAGTGAACTGGGAAGCTGGTTCTCGTACCGCAGTGAGTCTGTCAGATGTACCACACACCCTCTAGACCCAAACAGCCTCAGACTTCTACACCATCCGAGACTACAGAATGAGCTCAGGAGTTCTGCACATGCGTCCAGCTCATTTATTTCTTGGGCAAACAGGAAGACACTCACCCTCAGGCCCCTCTCTCCTGGCTTCCCTGGCAAGCCCATCTCACCCTGGAAACAAAGGCACAGCGGTTAGACAGCAGAGCTCAGGACAGCCTGGCACTGAGGCCCCAGCCAGCAGGGCCAGAGACAGAGCCAAGCTAAATGTAGAAACCCCAGACCAGATCTTCAGCGCTGCTTTTTTACCCCTCTGTGTGAACATCGCTCAGTCCACGAATGGCCAAGCCCTTGTTTTGCTTTACAAATAAACACACAACACATAGCAAAGAAGCAGGGTGCTTACCGGGGTGCCCTCGTCCCCCTTGTCTCCTTTCTCCCCCTTCAGAGAAAAACAAGACAGCAGTCAGTCAGCTGGCAGGCAGGTCAGTGTAGGTGACTCAGAGCACACAGAGGTGGACAGAGGTGACACTTTCATGGCTGCAGTGGGAGAAGCTGAGACTGACGAGCTGACAGTGGTTTTTCCAGAGGTCTGCAGTAGGACAGTATCTCTCACCTCTTTTCCTCTGAGTCCAATCTGTCCTGGAGGACCTGCCCTGCCTGGGTCCCCCCTCTCTCCTGGATCTCCAGGGTCACCCTGTAGCACAGCAGCAACAGACGGAGATACACTGAGATAAACTCATACAGCTGCAACACACTGATACAACAGCAACACACTAAGACAACTGACCCAGCAGCAACACATTGAGACACACTGAGACAAACTGACACAGCAGCAACACACTGAGATATTAATACTGACACTACACATTCTCGCACAACGACACACTGGGGGCACACTGGGACAGTACTGGGGCACACTGGGACAAACTGACACAGCAGTAACACACTGAGACACAAACCCTGACACTACACACTCTCGCACACTGGTACAGGCCTGCACACACTCTCACACAACGACACACTGGGGAACACTGGGACAGTACTGGAACAGTACTGGGACACACTGGGAGAGTACTGCACACACTCTCTCACACAACAACACACTGGGGCAGTACTGCACACACATACAATTCCACACAGAACCCAGGAAACTCACCTTCACTCCAGGTCTCCCTGTCAGGCCGATGTTCCCCTGCAGAGGGATGGGATACGCACAGATTACACTCTGTATGGGTGTGGCACTGAATTCCCAGCATATTCCCAGTAATATAAACCAGCAAAGCACTGGAAATCATACAGCAAAGCACTTTATTTACACACTGCAGCTATGAGGCTTCAGCCTCTAGCACAGTTCTGCTTGTGCACCTGTCTCCCCCGAACACCTCAGGAGACGCGTGTTATCTTTTCCTGGTGTATAAACAGCATGCTGATTCTGTTCAAGTACCAGTATAGAGACAAACTCACCCTCTCTCCCTGTTCGCCTTTGGGTCCAGGCTGTCCTGGGACACCGTAGCCTGGTGAGCCCTGCGTTCACACAGACAGGAGAGTCAACACCATGCTGCGCTGTTCGTACAACATAATTACTCTAATTACTTGGCCTCCTCTTCTTTGAAAACGTATGATTTGCAAGCAAAAGAATTCTGCCCGACAGGCTTACTTGAGTTGCATTATCTAACAGATTTAAGGATTTCATCAAGCCATTTATTGAAGAATCCCAGAGTATGAGCTTCAACAACATGGCTGGGCAGTTTGTTCCACACACCCACAACCCTTTGTGTAAATAAGTGTCTCCTATTCTCAGTCTTAAAGGCACCTTCTTATGGCTTTCTCTTTTTTCCATTCTTACATGTTCTAACTCATGGTCAAGCAAGCACAGCTGCCACAGAGAGCAGCTCCTCTCCTACTGACACTCTTAGCTCGGAGAGCAGTGTCATCAGACAGGAAGTTATACTGAAGAGCCGAACTCTCACACTGCTGCTGCTGAAACACAGAACTCATGTCCTTAGAATTGAACCAAACAGAGAGCCAGAGAGCAGAGCTCTGAGTTATCAACTTCTAAATCAAGTGAAACTCAGAAAATCCCCCAGCACCTCCATACCCATTGGATAAATAAATATCAAGCTCCTCAAATACCCCAGAGCGCCTGAGCAGCGGCCCTGAGCTCTGGGCTGAAATACCCCAGAGCCTGACACAGCAGGGCAGGAGGCCGTGACGTTGTCAGCTCTGTCAACATCTTCCAGCAGAGGGCGGCACAGAGCACTTCAACCTCAGGGACCAACTCACTTTTTCACCTTTCTCCGCGGGGTCACCCTTCACACCTTTGGGGCCCTCTGGCCCTGGCAGTCCCCGTTCCCCCTGAAAGAGAGGGGGGGGGCAGAGAGGGAGTGTGAGAGAAAGAGGTGGAGGCAGAGGCGAGCAGAAAGGAGGGAGGGAGGCAGATATGTGCTTTCTCTTGTTTTCTCAATGAGCACTAACAGGGTGAGACAACTGCTCAGAGCAATGAAGAATGTAGAACAGGTCAGTACCTTGTCTCCTTTGTTCCCTGCTGGCCCTTGAATCTGTGAGGACAACAGATAACACCAGTGTGAAAATGACAGAAAAAGCACTTTCCTTATTCGAGAAAAACAATGAATTCTCCAGTAGACTCACAGTTCTTCCAGGCTCTCCACGAGCTCCTTCATTACCCTGGAGACAGGACAAGGAAGAGACAGAGGAGGAGGAAGAGGAGGGAGAGAGGACATGGTCAGTGTCACTTTGTGACAGACATGTGCTGAAACACTAGAGCAAGAGCTCAGCAGATCATGAGAAACACGACACAGTCTGGCCTGAGAGACACACTGGAAATAAAGCACAATCTCATCACTCCTGCGGGCTCACGCCTCACTGAAGACCCATTGGTCACCCTGTCGCCCCTGGCTGCCTACCTTCTCTCCCGACTGGCCTCCGGGCCCAGGCAAGCCCTGGACAGGACAAAGACCACAGAGCATCGTTAACACACAGAAGACAGCTCTGGAGCACAGACACTGAGCCGCCTCAATAATAATAATAATAATAATAATAATAATAATAATAATAATAATAAACTCACTCTGAGTCCTGGAGGCCCAGGTGCACCAGCTTTT